TGAGCAAGAATATTAAGAACATCTTTTTGAATTTCTGGAGAAGTATACTTCGCATTCCTTGGAGCATTCTCTAAGACTACGTCTCCAATGCTATCATTCATTCTTCCCATGAACTTTATCATTTCGATAAAATTTCCACGATTAGTTGATAATGTAGATTCATCATGTCCTCTGAATGCACATGCTTGCAAAGTGAGCCATCGGATGCTTTCAATAGTTGCTGTTAGCCGCAATCTATTCTTTTGTTTCTCCTCTAAAGTTTGTGTGTTGATTAGCTTATCAACATGATGAGACACATTCATCAAACAATCAATAGAGGCCGCAGCATTATTATGCGATGAAGTAGGGCCTCCAACATGTTGTAAGAAGGAGCATCTAACGCCGTCATTAACTCGCTTCCAATACGTGAATCCCTCGGCAGTAAATGGTGAGTTTCGAGCTTGTTTATTTTCGAACAAGAAACACGGGAAGCAAAATGCAGCATCCTTAGAAGGAGAGTACTCTAACCAAGTAAACTTCTTGAACCAATTGCTTTGAAATCTTCGATTTTGAGCTCCGAATTCTCTTAGTGGATATTCTTTCTTGATAGGTTGATACGGTCCCATCTTAATATAAGCTCGTCTTATTTCATCTCTTTGATCGACGGGACATTTCCATATTGGAGTGCGCAATGCCGGGTCACGTTCAAGAGAGCTCATATCAATAGAGGCGGCAACATCATCATTAGGAGGACGATCTCCGCTTGTCGACGTATGCTCTTTTGGCTTAAAGAATGAATTGATAGTCTTTCTTTTCTTCGTTCCTTGACCCTCCATTATAATTAAAACCTATCAAGTTAACAAAAAATAGTAAATTAATTAAGCATTTAGGTGATAGAAATAAACTAAAAAAAATAATAAAATAAAAAAAGGTAATCAAGAATATATTGTGGATTTTTGTACACAATCATATTATGAATGCCAAGCATCCACACATTTATAAGAATGAGTACATGATCAACTAGCATTAACAAGTACAATTAAGCTAAAAACATGTTCCCCAATTAATATAAATTTTAACATAAATTAGAGAATGCAAGTGAAACAAGTACACTAAAGAACATTTTTATTTTACCATTTTTTCCACCTCATATAAATAATATCAATGCCCAATAACACCAAAGGGGTAGAGTTTGCTAATAAGATATAATTTAAATGGACAAAAACTTAAGACTACAAGACAAAAAATATCAATCTAATTCTTAATGTGACTTGATACCTTGTTCCACATGAAATAAAGCTACAAGACAAATTTAGCAAATAGAAAACATGGCAGGATTTGAAACACTAAAATTGAGACCACGTGCAGTAGGGATCAATGTCTATTCCCCATAAGCTCAAAATTTTACCATAATTTTGACATAACAACAAAAATCAAACAAGTAATTGAGATTAATGTAGACAAAAAGTACACCATTAGCAAACCAAATAAATTCCAATTTAACCATTTGTGCGGATAGCCGGATAAGAACAGAAAATTTCCATAATTCACAAATGCATCCAATTTTTTCAGTATACCAAAATTCCCAGAAAATATGTTCACGTAGGCCTTAGGGTTCAGAATACTTCAAGACAAAAAATTAATACTTCAAGACCCCAAAAAAAAAAATCAATCGAATTATTCACAAACCACATAAAACCATGTTCTTGAATAGGGTTCTCCAATCTAAATTGGATGTTGGATTTCTTACC